AATGAGGAATATTCATTAGGAGTTTTTATTGACCTAAGAAAAGCTTTTGACCCAGTAGACCATGGCATCCTACTCCACAAACTTGATCATTATGGTATAAGAGGCCATGTACTTGCATATTTCAAATCCTACCTTACTAATAGGTATCAGTATGTCACCATTAAAGACACAGCCTCATCAACACGGCCACTTGATACTGGAGCACCACAGGGAAGTGTCCTTGGACCCCTGCTCTTCCTCTTATACATCAATGATCTTCCCAACGCATCACAACACCTCAACCTCATTCTCTTTGCTGACGACACGATTATGTCATCTCCCACCCAAATCTTGTCACCCTCAACACCATTGTTAACGAGGAGCTGCTCAAAATATCTACTTTGATGACAGCCAATAAACTTACACTTAACACTGACAAAACCTGCTATATTATGTTTGGTAGCAGAGCAGGTGTTGCACTACTTAACATTAAGATAGACAATACTCTTATTGCCAGACATAATGAGGGCAAATCCTAGACCTACACTTCGACAGCAACCTGAATGTCAGCACCCATATCCGACACATAACAAAAATAGTATCCAAAATGGTTGGGATCCTCTCCAAGATACGATACTGCATGCCGCAATCTGCCCTTCTCACACTATACCATTCACTCATTTATCCATACCTCACCTATGTTATTTGTGCTTGAGGATCAACTGCAGCAACACACCTAAAGCCAATAATAACCCAACAAAAAGCTGCAGTAAGAATAATCACGCAATCCAATCCCACGCAACCCCCCCCCAACTCTTCACAGATCTAAACTTACTCACTGTTCAGAACTTCCACACTTACTACTGTGCAACCTACATCTACAAGACCTTAAATTCCAATATTAACCCTGACCTAAAATCCTTTTTTGATAGTTGTGACAGGACCCACAGGCATAGCACCAGACATAAACATCTCTATGACATTCCTCGTGTCCTGCTAAAACTTTACAAAAATTCAATGTACATAAAAGGTCCTAAAATCTGGAACACCCTACCTGATAACTCATCGTTAGAAAACATCTTATCTCCCTGATACACCACACTGTCAGATAAGTACACGAAAACCACCTGGTGGTTCACACTAACACTCACACAATCTCTCAAGTGACTATAAACACAGAAATACGAATCTTAAAATAATGAATCCTGACTAGTCATAAGTTTGCAAGACATTACTAAAGTAACTTTCAGACTACATAACGAGACAGCAGTTAACAACTTTATAGCAGTTATGAATAATATCGATTGGTAAAATGAGCTTGAAACACATACAGATATGAATGAATGCATAAATAATTTTCTAAAAAAAAGCCCAAAGCCTCTATAACAAACATTGCCCCCAAAAACTAAACAGATCACAGCAAAGAGACTGAATAATCCCTGGCTAACACCAAGCATCCTCAAATCCATTAACACAAAGCACAAATATCAAAAACAGTATAGAATGGGTCAAATAACTAGAGAACAGTTGAAAAGTTACTCGTCAGCACTTACCAGCCTGATGAGAAGATCTAAAAAAATTTTTTATGAAAATAGATTACATAATATCAAAGGTGATATGAAAAAAAACTGGAAAATTCTATCTGAAATTCTTGGAAATAAAAAGTTATCCAAAAACAAAACAATCAAACTAACAAAATCAGATGAACCGCTACTGACACCTACTGAAACAGCGAACAGACTCAATGTTTTCTTCTCCACCATAGGAAAAAATCTAGTGAACAAAATACCAAGCACGAACACCCGTCCATCAGACTACCTCATAGGTACCTACCCAAATATGCTATTCCTAGTTCCAACCAACCCCACTGAAGTTATGCTCATCATCAACACCCTTAAAAACAAGGCAGGAGACATAAACAACTTGCCTGATTTTATGTACAAAAAAGCTTCTCAAGTATTGTCACCAATTATTGCAACGCTCTTTAACAAATCCATTGAATCATCTACCTTCCCAACAATCCTCAAAATAGCAAGGGTCACTCCGATACACAAAGGAGGTGACCAAGCTGACTTGAATAACTATAGACCAATATCTAACTTACCACTGCTCTCTAAAATCTTTGAAAAATTAATTTATAGACGGATCTATTCCTACCTCGTCTCACACATCATATTAAACCCTTATCAGTTTGGATTCAGGAATAATAAAAGCACAAATGATGCTATCATACACATGCTAGAACTAATATATACCGCACTCGAAAAGAAAGAAGTCCCGCTGGGCATTTTCATTGATTTACGTAAAGCTTTCGATACAGTCGACCATGAATTGTTTTACTCCAAATTAACGCACTGTGGTATCAGAGGCCTCTCCCTCAACTACCTAAAATCATACCTTAGTAACAGAACTCAATATGTGTATGCAAATGATGCAAACTCTTCCACCCAACCAACCACAGTAAGAGCCCCACAAGGAAGCTTCCTTGGACCACTCCTCTTTCTCATCTACATCAATGATCTACCGAATGCATCACAGCTACTCAAACCCATATTATTTGCAGATGACACTACATATGTCTTTTCCCACCCAAACACAGTCATACTAACAAACACAGTCAATGCCGAATTGCAGAAAATATCTGCCTGGATGATGACTAATAAACTTACCCTGAATACTGATAAAACCCATTTCATTCAGTTTGGAAACAAAGCTGTAAATGATCTGATTAACATAACGCTAAATGGATCACCAGTCACAAGACTCACAGAGGGAAAATTCCTAGGTATCCACCTTGACAGTAGCCTTAAGTTCCGGACACACACAACAAATCACCAAGAAAATCTCCAAGACTGTAGGCATACTATCAAAGATAAGGTACTACGTTCCACAATCAGCTCTCCTGGCACTGTACCATTCACTCATATACCCTTATCTTACATATGGAATTTGTGCATGGGGATCAACAACATCCAATCACCTAAAACCCCTAATAACCCAGCAAAAGGCAGCAGTAAGAATGATAACAAATTCCCACTCTCGCCAGCATACTCCACCAATTTTCAAAAGTCTGAATCTGATCACCATTAAGAACATCCATTCCTATTCATGTGTCTACTACATACACAGGACAATACACGCAAATATAAACCCTCCACTCAAACTTCTCACCAACCTAAACAGGACACATGACAACAACACAAGACACAGATCTCTTTTTGATATACCTCGTGTCCATATCACACTGTGTAAAAACTTTATGCACATAAAGAGCCCCAAAATATGGAATTCATTACCAAAAGATATTAAAGTAACCCAGTCTGAAAATCAATTTAAGACTCTTCTCAAAAGCCACTTAATCACCTTAGACTAAATGCTAAATACTCAGTACACACTTACTCACCTATGTACTCCCACATCATAACTGAAACAATCACATTGAACCTTTTATCCATTGTTGACACGAATATAATTGAACCATTGTTTTCACAAAAAGCATTTTAGACTATAAGAATATATCCTTTGTCTTATACAAATTTAATTCACTTATAATTAATAATCTACTGTTCAACTATGAAATAATTAATATTCTACTGTACAACTATGAAATAATTAATATTCTATTGTACAACTATGATATAATCCTTAGTGTTAAGATGTCTGTAAGCCAATAATGTTAAGTTGGACCATAATACCTAGGCATAATAGAGGCTCTCTTTGTATTGCAACCCACTATTGTAAATATAAAATATCAATGTACTGTTTGCAAAGACATAAAATAAATAAATAAATAAAATAAATAAAAATACTCCAATATAGATACTATGTATTGTACCAAAACAAAAGCATTCACATTGCTAAATTTACAAACTGTAATGTAGTTACTTAGCCTTAATACCAACTTGCTCCAGAATCTGTAATAATTTAGAGTTATGAATTAATCTTAGTCTGCCCGAAATGCATAGCCATGCTAGGTGTGATAGTGACCCTCTCTGTAATTAGTATTTTATAACATGTAAACCACACAATATCCTAAAATATGTAAGTTAAGTTAAGTTAAGTTTTCGTTTGGATTTTTAACCCTGGAGGGTTAGCCACCCAGGATAACCCAAGAAAGTCAGTGCGTCATCGAGGACTGTCTAACTTATTTCCATTGGGGTCCTTAATCTTGTCCCCCAGGATGCGACCCACACCAGTCGACTAACACCCAGGTACCTATTTGCTGCTAGGTGAACAGGACAACAGGTGTAAGGAAACGTGTCGAAATGTTTCCACCCGCCGGGAATCGAACCCGGGCCCTCCGTGTGTGAAGAGGGAGCTTTAGCCACCAGGCCACCGGGCCACATTGTAATCTTTATAGAAAATAAACTTGATTTGATTTGATCCATGGGTTATCCGTGAACCAGTGTTCCAGTACTGACTCTGGCGGAGCAGTAACCAAGTGAGCTCCGTGAACCAGTGTTCCAGTACTGACTCTGGCGGAACAGTAACCAAGTGAGCTCCGTGAACCAGTGTTCCAGTACTGACTGGCGGAGCAGTAACCAAGTGAGCTCCGTGAACCAGTGTTCCAGTACTGACTCTGGCAGAACAGTAACCAAGTGAGCTCCGTGAACCAGTGTTCCAGTACTGACTCTGGCGGAGCAGTAACCAAGTGAGCTCCGTGAACCAGTGTTCCAGTACTGACTGGCGGAGCAGTAACCAAGTGAGCTCCGTGAACCAGTGTTCCAGTACTGACTCTGGCGGAGAAGTAACCAAGTGAGCTCCGTGAACCAGTTCCAGTACTGACTCTGGCGGAGAAGTAACCAAGTGAGCTCCGTGAACCAGTGTTCCAGTACTGACTCTGGCGGAACAGTAACGCTTATTATTATTATTATTATTATTATTATTACACTCAAAACTCAGTACTTAATGAGTCACCGAGAGATTAAGACCCGTGTCAGGACACTTGTCCTGGCGAATATTATGTACCTAAACGCTAAACCCACAAGGATAATACAGCAGCAGTAACACTAGCAACTTACCTTCGTGCGATAGCAAGCACGAGTGATGTACAGTGGTTGTTGATGTCTTGGGTTACTATATATACACCACAAAACAACCACAAAAAAACATCAATCTTCCTGCTATTGTATTGCGTGAATGTCAGGACAATACACCATAATTTACTTAATCCGGTAATTTTCCTGAACACTGTTGTTAGTGTTCTCGTGAGAGAGATAAAATTGGCAGTTATTGTAGCTAGTAAATAAAGGGAAGACCTTGATAAGATTGAGATCTCCGCAGAACTTTTGTACCTTAGATGGATCAGCACGACACCACCATAACTGACTCACTCTATTCACTGAAGGAACGTTAGATTATAGTTTATTATTAAAGCAAAAAAAAAAAAAGAGCAATTATTGTTGTAGACAGCTTATACACAGAGTTCCGCCTCCTATTATTATTATTATTATTATTATTATTATTATTATTATTATTATTATTATTACTATTATTATTATTATTATTATTATTATTATTATTATTATTATTATTATTACTACAAACGAAATTAAAAAAGTCTTCTGTTTAGGAAGCCTCAGAATTTGCTTTCCAGAATATATGATTGGTTCCATAAATATAATTTTAAAACAGCGGTTATTAAACTGAGATATTCTAAGGATTTTCAAATCGACTTGTTAACTCCAGAAAGTTTTTTTTTTTGTAATATTGATCATGAGACATCAGGAACTCAAAAATAAATTCCACCATACAAAGAAATCATCTCATTAATTTAAAATCAAAAGTGTGAAAATCTCCCTGAAAACACACCTGGAGTTTACCTGGAGTTTACCTGGAGTTTACCTGGAGTTTACCTGGAGAGAGTTCCGGGGGTCAACGCCCCCGCGGCCCGGTCTGTGACCAGGCCTCCTGGTGCATCAGAGCCTGATCAACCAGGCTGTTACTGCTGGCTGCACGCAAACCAACGTACGAACCACAGCCCGGCTGATCAGGAACCGACTTTAGGTGCTTGTCCAGTGCCAGCTTGAAGACTGCCAGGGGTCTGTTGGTAATCCTCCTTATGTGTGCTGGGAGGCAGTTGAACAGTCTCGGGCCCCTGACACTTATTGTATGGTCTCTTAACGTGCTAGTGACACCCCTGCTTTTCAATGGGGGGATGGTGCATCGTCTGCCAAGTCTTTTGCTTTCGTAGTGAGTGATTTTCATGTGCAAGTTCGGTACTAGTCCCTCTAGGATTTTCCAGGTGTATATAATCATGTATCTCTCCCTCCTGCGTTCCAGGGAATACAGGTTTAGAAACCTCAAGCGCTCCCAGTAATTGAGGTGTTTTATCTCCGTTATGCGCGCCGTGAAAGTTCTCTGTACATTTTCTAGGTCGGCAATTTCACCTGCCTTGAAAGGTGCTGTTAGAGTGCAGCAATATTCCAGCCTAGATAGAACAAGTGACCTGAAGAGTGTCATCATGGGCTTGGCCTCCCTAGTTTTGAAGGTTCTCATTATCCATCCTGTCATTTTTCTAGCAGATGCGATTGATACAATGTTATGGTCCTTGAAGGTGAGATCCTCCGACATGATCACTCCCAGGTCTTTGACGTTAATTTTTCGCTCTATTGTGTGGCTGGAATTTGTTTTCTACTCTGATGAAGTTTTAATTTCCTCATGTTTACCATATCGGAGTAATTGAAATTTCTCATCGTTGAACTTCATATTGTTTTCTGCAGCCCACTGAAAGATTTGGTTGATGTCCGCCTGGAGCCTTGCAGTGTCTGCAATGGAAGACACTGTCACGTAGATTCGGGTGTCATCTGCAAAGGAAGACACGGTGCTGTGGCTGACTTCATTGTCTATGTCAGATATGTGGATGAGAAACAAGATGGAAGTGAGTACTGTGCCTTGTGCAACAGAGCTTTTCACCGTAGCCGCCTCAGATTTTACTCTGTTGACTACTACTCTTTGTGTTCTATTTGTGAGGAAGTTATAGATCCACCTACCAACTTTTCCTGTTATTCCTTTAGCACGCATTTTGTGTGTTATTACGCCATGGTCACACTTGTCGAAGGCTTTTGCAAAGTCTGTGTATATTACATTTGCATTCTTTTTGTCTTCTAGTGCATCTAGGACCTTGTCGAAGTGGTCCAGTAGTTGGGACAGACAGGAGCGACCTGTTCTAAACCCATGTTGCCCTGGGTTGTGTAATTGATGGGTATCTAGGTGGGTGGCGATCTTGCTTCTTAGGACCCTTTCAAAGATTTTTATGATATGGGATGTTAGTGCTATCAGTCTGTAGTTCTTTGCTATTGCTTTACTGCCCCGTTTGTGGAGTGGGGCTATGTCTGTTGTTAATAGTAACTGTGGGACGACCCCCGTGTCCATGCTCCCTCTCCATAGGATGGTAAAAGCACGTGATAGGGGATTCTTGCGGTTCTTGATGAACACAGAGTTCCATGAGTCTGGCCCTGGGGCAGAGTGTATGGGCATGTCATTTATCGCGTCAGGACAACATCAGATAGGCTTGTGTTTACCAAATTCTGTGGCTCTCTCATAAAAAATTCATTTTGATCTTCGACTTTCAGTCTGGTTAGCGGCTTATAAAAAGCTGAATCATATTGGGACTTGAGTAGCTCACTCATTTCCTTCCTATCATCTGTGTAGGACCCATCTCGTTTAAGTAGGGGCCCAATACTGGATATTGTTCTCGACTTTGATTTGGCATTACAAAAGAAATACTTTGAGTTTCTTTCAATTTCATTCATTGCTTTTAGTTCTTACTGCGATTCCTGACTCCTATAAGATTCCTTTAGCTTTAGTTCAATGTTTGCTATTTCTCTGACCAGTGTCTCCATACGCATTTCAGATATATTAGCCTCTTTTATTCGCTCTGTTATTTTTTTCCGTCGCCTGTAATGGGAGCATCTGTCTCTTTCTATTTTACATCTGTTCTAGGCATAAGTTGGGGTCTGTGCTGCTTAGTCTATCTTCCAGCTTATATCATTTAGGACTTGGTTTACTTGCAAGAAGCCCCTATCACGAGCCTTTTCCATCCTATGGAGAGGGAGCATGGACACGGGGGTCGTCCCTCAGTTACTAAAAACAACAGACATAGCCCCACTCCACAAAGGGGGCAGTAAAGCAACAGCAAAGAACTACAGACCAATAGCACTAACATCCCATATCATAAAAAATCTTTGAAAGGGTCCTAAGAAGCAAGATCACCACCCATCTAGAAACCCATCAGTTACACAACCCAGGGCAACATGGGTTTAGAACAGGTCGCTCCTGTCTGTCTCAACTACTGGATCACTACGACAAGGTCCTAAATGCACTAGAAGACAAAAAGAATGCAGATGTAATATATACAGACTTTGCAAAAGCCTTCGACAAGTGTGACCATGGCGTAATAGCGCACAAAATGCGCGCTAAAGGAATAACAGGAAAAGTCGGTCGATGGATCTATAATTTCCTCACTAACAGAACACAGAGAGTAGTCGTCAACAGAGTAAAAGTCCGAGGCAGCTACGGTGAAAAGCTCTGTTCCACAAGGCACAGTACTAGCTCCCATCTTGTTCCTCATCCTCATATCCGACATAGACAAGGATGTCAGCCACAGCACCGTGTCTTCCTTTGCAGATGACACCCGAATCTGCATGACAGTGTCTTCCATTGCAGACACTGCAAGGCTCCAGGCGGACATCAACCAAATCTTTCAGTGGGCCGCAGAAAACAATATGAAGTTCAACGATGAGAAATTTCAATTACTCAGATATGGTAAACATGAGGAAATTAAATCTTCATCAGAGTACAAAACAAATTCTGGCCACAAAATAGAGCGAAACACCAACGTCAAAGACCTGGGAGTGATTCTGTCGGAGGATCTCACCTTCAAGGACCATAACATTGTATCAATCGCATCTGCTAGAAAAATGACAGGATGGATAATGAGAACCTTCAAAACTATGGAGGCCAAGCCCATGATGACACTCTTCAGGTCACTTGTTCTATCTAGGCTGGAATATTGCTGCACTCTAACAGCACCTTTCAAGGCAGGTGAAATTGCCGACCTAGAAAATGTACAGAGAACTTTCACGGCGCGCATAACGGAGAATAAAACACCTCAATTACTGGAGCGCTTGAGGTTTCTAAACCTGTATTCCCTGGAACGCAGGAGGGAGAGATACATGATTATATACACCTGGAAAATCCTAGAGGGACTAGTACCGAACTTGCACACGAAAATCACTCACTACGAAAGCAAAAGACTTGGCAGACGATGCACCATCCCCCCAATGAAAAGCAGGGGTGTCACTAGCACGTTAAGAGACCATACAATAAGTGTCAGGGGCCCGAGACTGTTCAACTGCCTCCCAGCACACACAAGGGGGATTACCAACAGACCCCTGGCAGTCTTCAAGCGGGCACTGGACAAGCACCTAAAGTCAGTTCCTGATCAGCCGGGCTGTGGCTCGTACGTTGGTTTGCGTGCAGCCAGCAGCAACAGCCTGGTTGATCAGGCGCTGATCCACCAGGAGGCCTGGTCACAGACCGGGCCGCGGGGGCATTGACCCCCGAAACTCTCTCCAGGTAAACTCCAGGTAAACTTGGTCCCAACAGATACAGATACTAATGCCGGAAAAAAAATCCCCCCCCAGTACCAACAATACCACCAGTCCGATAACATTCTTCTTTGCAAATATACAGGGTCTAAAGCCAGCAATAAACAACAAAATACCTTTCATCCGTGGACTGCTTGCAGAGGCAAAGGCAATGTTCGCGGCTTTCACTGAGACCCACATAAAGGATCACTTGGACAACGAAATATGGATCCCAGGTTACAACCTATACAGATGTGACAGAGTGAACAGGCAAAAGGGGGGGGTTGGCCTGTACATTAGCAGAGTCACTTGTTTGCACAGAACTGCTTAATGCATCAAATGACGTAGTGGAAGTTTTAGCAGTAAAGGTCGAGAACCAAAACCTAGTCATTGTGGTAGTCTACAAGCCTCCGGATGCAACATCCCAGCAATTCCAGGAACAGCTGTTAAAAATTGACCACTGTCTGGAAAA